TCAGTCACCAGCAGGGACCCTCAACCCCTGAACCATGCTTCTCTGCTGCTGCTATGAATGCCTGAACACCCATGAGCACCCGGCTACAACCAATAAGTATGTAACCTGCCATGCTGCTTCTGGCACATGCAAATGAGGATGGACTCCACTGCTATGACCCTATGAAATGCTTTGCCCGTCACCACCCACAGGAATGCTGAAACCAAAGATGCAGGAGCACCTCAGTCCACCCAGTGCAGTGGATTCCTAACCTCAAGGAACCAGAAAACAAAGTTGGGGCCCAATATTGGTCCCCCAGAGGTAGAGCACATAGTCCAGGAGTTGTGAGCTGCACCTTGGCCCCCTGAAATCTTCCAGAAACAAAGCCAGTCAATAGAACCCACATTATACCACAATCAAGCCCTTAAGGTCATCAAACAGGATAAAGAAAAAAAAAATCTAAAGGACCACAATTTCAAAGATTGAAGAAACAGCCCACAAAGATGGGAAAGAACCAGTATAAGAACTGACAACCCAAAAAGTGAGAATGCCTTTATTCCTCCAAACGACTGCACTAGCTCTCCAGCAAGCGTTCTGAAAGAGGCCGAAATGACTGAAATGATGGAAACAGAATTCAGAATATGGATAGGAATGAAGATAATCAAGATGCAGGACTACATTGAAACAATCCAAAGAAGCTAAGAATCGCAATAAAACAATGCAGAAGCTGCCATACAAAATAGCCAGTATAGAAAAGAACATAACCAACATGACAGAGCTGAAAAACACACTATAAGCATTTCTTTTTTTATTTTTTTTTCTGGAGGCAGAATCTTGCTCTGTCACCCAGGTTGGAGTGGTACAATCTCAGCTCACTGCAACCTCCACCTCCCAGGTTCCAGCAATTCTCCTGCCTCAGCCTCCTGAGTAGCTGAGATTATAGGCACCCACCACCATGCCCAGCTAATTTTTTTGTATTTTTAGAGGAGACAGGGCTTTACCATGTTGGCCAGGCTGGTCTTGAACTCCTGACCTTATGATCCACCCACCTCAGCCTCCAAAGTGCTGGGATTACAGGCATGAGGCATCATCCCGGGCCTAGAATTTCATAATGCAATTGCAAGTATTAATAGCAAAATAGGCCAAGCTGAGGAAAGAAAGTCAGAGCTTAAAGACTGGCTTTCTGAAATAAAACAGTCAGACAATAATCAAGAAAAAAAGAATGAAAAGTAATGAATAAGACCTCCAAGAAATATGGGATTGTGTAAAGAAACCAAAGCTATGACATATTGGTGTCCCTGAAAGAGATAGGGAGAACGGAACCAACTTGGAAAACATATTTCAGGATATCATCCATGAAAACTTTCCCAACCTCACTAGAGAGGTCAACATTCAAATTCAGGAAACAAGAGAACCCCAATAAGACAATTCATAAGAAGACAGGCAGGGCACGGTGGCTCAAGCCTGTAATCCCAGCACTTTGGGAGGCCGAGGTAGGCGGATCATGAGGTCAAAAGATCAAGACCATTCTGGCCAACATGGTGAAACCCCATCTCTACTAAAAATACAAAAAAAAAAAAAATTAGCTGGGCGTGGTGGCATGCACTTGTAGTCCCAGCTACTCGGGAGGCTAAGGCAGGAGAATTGCTTGAATGTGGGAGGTGGAGGTTGCAGTGAGCCGAGATTGTGCCACTGCACTCTAGCCTGGCACCTGGCGACAGAGTGAGACTCTGTCTCAAAAAAAAAAAAAAGAAAATAATCCCCAAAATACACAATCATCATATTCCCCAAGGTTTAAATGAAAGAAAAAAATGTTAAATTCAGTTACAGAAAAAGGCCAGGTCACCTACAAAGGGAAGCTCATAAGACTAACAGTGGACCTCTTAGCAGAGACCCTATAAGCCAGAAGAGATTGGGAGCCAATATTCAACATTCTTAAAGACATTTCAACCAAGAATATCATACCCAGCCAAACTAAGCTTCATAAGTGAAAGATAAATTAGATCCTTTACACGCAAGAAAATGCTGAGGGAATTTGTTACCACCAGACCTGCCTTACAATAGTTCCTGAAGAAAGCACTAAATATGGAAAAGAAAGACCATTACCAACCACTACAAAAACACACTCAGGTACACAGGCCAGTAACATTGTAAAGCAACCACACAAACGAGTATCTACAATAACCAGCTAATATGATGACAGGATCAAATTCACACATATCAATAATAATCTTGAATATAAATGGGCTAAATTCCCCAATTAAAAGGCACAGAGTGGCAAGCTGGATAAAACAGCCATACCTATTGGTATGCTCTCTTCAACTGACCGTTTCACACACAATAACACCCATAGACTCAAAATAAAGGGAGGGAGGAAAATCTACCAAGCAAATGGAACTCAGATAAAAGCAGCGGTTACAATCCTAATTTCAGACAAAATAGGCTTTAAACCAACAAAGACCAAAAAAGACAAAGAAAAGCATTATATTTTGGTAAAAGGTTCAATTCAACAAGAAGACCTACCCATATATATACCTGCACCCAACACAGGAGCACCCAGATTCATAAAGCAAGTTTTTAGGGACCTTCGAAGAGACTCAGACTCCCACACAATAATAATGAGAGACTTCAACTCCCCACTGACAGTATTGGACTAATCATCAAGTCAGAAAATTAACAGAATTATTCAGGACCTGAACTCAGCACTGGATCAAATAGGCCTGATCAATATCTGTGGAACTCTTCAACCAAAAACAACAGAATATACATTCTTCTCATTGTCACATGGCACATACTCTAAAATCAACCACACAATTGGACGTAAAACAATCCTCAGCAAATGTTAAAGAACTGACATTATACCAACCATTCTTTTTTTTTTTTTTTTTTTTTTAAGATGGAGTTTCGCTCTTGTTACCCAGGCTGGAGTGCAATGGTGCGATCTCGGCTCACCGCAACCTCCACCTCCTGGGTTCAGGCAATTCTCCTGCCTCAGCCTCCTGAGTAGCTGGGATTACAGGCACACGCCACCATGCCCAGCTAATTTTTTGTATTTTTAGTAGAGACGGGGTTTCACCATGTTGACCAGGATGGTCTCGATCTCTTGACCTCGTGATCCACCCGCCTCGGCCTCCCAAAGTGCTGGGATTACAGGCTTGAGCCACCGCGCCCGGCCACCAACCATTCTTTTATACCAACCACAGTGCAATAAAATTAGAAATGAAGACTCAGGTCAAGAGATCTAGACCACATGGCCAACATGGTGAAACCCCATCTCTACTAAAAATTTTAAAAAGCTAGGCATGGTGGCATGTACCTGTAGTCCCAGCTACTTGGGAGGCTGAGGCAGGAGAATCTCTTGAACCCAGGAAGCAGAGATTACAGTGAGCCGAGATCATGCCACTGCATTCCAGCCTGGCAACAGACTCAGAAGAAGGGAAGGAATGAGAAGGGAAGGGAGAGGGAAGGGAAAGAGAAGGGAGAGGGAAGGGAAGGGAAGGGAGAGAGAGAGGAAGGAAGGAAGGAAGGAAGGAAGGAAGGAAGGAAGGAAGGAAGGAAGAAAATACATCTCTATTAAAAATACAAAATTAGGGCCGGGTGCGGTGGCTCAAGCCTGTAATCCCAGCACTTTGGGAGGCCGAGGCAGGTGGATCACGAGGTCAAGAAATCGAGACCATCCTGGTCAACATGGTGACACCCCGTCTCTACTAAAAATACAAAAAATTAGCTGGGCATGGTGGTGCGTGCCTGTAATCCCAGCTACTCAGGAGGCTGAGGCAGGAGAATTGCCTGAACCCAGGAGGCGGAGGTTGCGGTGAGCCGAGATCATGCCATTGCACTCCAGCCTGGGTAACAAGAGTGGAACTCAGTCTCAAAAAAAAAAAAAACAAAACAAAATTAGCTGGGCATGGTGGCACATGCCTGTAATCCCAGCAACTTGGGAGGCTGAGGCAAGAGAATCACTTGAACCCAGGAGGCAGAGATTGACATGAGCCAAGATCATGACATTGCACTGCAGTCTGGGCAAGAACAAAAATCTGTCTCAAAAAAGGAAAAAAAAAAAAATCCACAATTGGTTGGGCTTAGTGGCTCATGCCTATAATCCTAGCACTTTGGGAAGCCAAAGAGGATGACCTGAGCCCAGGAGTTTGAGACCAGCCTGGACAACATGGCAAGACTACATCTCTACAAAAAAATACAAAAATTAGCCAGTGTGGTGGCACCCACCTATAGTCCCAGCTACTCAGAAGGCTGAGGCAGGAGGATAACTTGAGCTCAGGAAGTCGAGGCTGCAGTGAGCTGTAATCATGCCACTGCACTCCAGCATGGGGGACAGAGTGAGACCTTTTCTCAAAAAAAAAAAAAAAAAAAAAAAAAAAAGTCAAAAAATAACAGATGCTGGTAAGATTACAGAGAAGAAGGAACATTTTCACACTGTTGGTAGAAGTGTAAATTAGTTCAACCATTGTGGAAAATAGTGTGGTGATTCCTCAAAGAGCTAAAAACAGGACTACCATTCCACCCAGCAATCCCATTACTGAGTATATGCCCAAAGGAATATAAATTATTCTATCATAAAGACACATGCATGTTTTCTGCAGAACTACTCACAATAGCAAAGACATGGAATCAATCTAAATGCTCATCAGTGGTAGACTGGATAAAGAAAGTGTAGTACATATACACCATGGAACACTATGTAGCCATAAAAACAATAAAATCACATTTTTGCAGGAACATGGATGGAGCTGGAAGCCATTGTCCTTAGCAAATTTATGCAGGAACAGAGAATCAAATACTCCATGTTCTTACTTTTAAGTGGGAGCTAAATGATGAGAACACATGGACACATAGAGGGGAACAAAAGACACCGAGATTTATGGGAGGAGGGAGAGGATCGTGAAAAGTTAACCAATAGGTACTAGGTTTAATACCTGGGTAGTATTCCGGCGCCTCCACTCCATCCCCCGCGGGTCTGCTCTGTGTGCCAGGGAGGCATTGTCCCAGATACAGCAGTTGGTACAAAGCGGGGAATCTGACGAGCTTTTCTCTACTTGTGTCACCAACAGACTGTTTATCATGAGCAGCAAATCAGCGTCTGCAGCAAATGGAAATGACAGCGAGAAGTTCAAAGGCGATAGCAAAAGTGCCGGTGTCCCCTCCAGAGTGATCCACATTCAGAAGCTCCCCATCGACGTCACAGAAGGGGAGGTCATCTCCCTGGGGCTGCCCTTTGGGAAGGTCACCAATCTCCTGATGTTGAAGGGGAAAAACCAGGCTTTCATCGAGATGAACACGGAGGAGGTTGCCAACACCATGGTGAACTACTACACCTCCGTGACACCCGTGCTGTGCGGCCAGCCCATCTACATCCAGTTCTCCAACCACAAGGAGCTGAAGACGGACAGCTCTCCCAACCAGGCACGCGCCCAGGCGGCCCTGCAGGCCGTGAACTCGGTCCAGTCGGGGAACCTGACTTTGGCTGCCTCGGCGGCGGCTGTGAACACAAGGCTGGTGATGGCCGGGCAGAGCCCCGTGCTGAGGATCATCATGGAGAACCTCTTCTACCCGGTGACACTGGACGTGCTGCACCAGATTTTCTCCAAGTTCGGCATGGTGTTGAAGATCATCACCTTCGCCAAGAACAACCAGTTCCAGGCCCTGCAGCAGTACGCGGACCCCGTGAGCGCCCAGCACGCCAAGCTGTCTCTGGACGGGCAGAACATCTACAACGCCTGCTGCACGCTGCACATTGACTTCTCCAAGCTCACCAGCCTCAACGTCAAGTACAACAATGACAAGAGCCGTGACTACACCCGCCCAGACCTGCCCTCTGGGGACAGCCAGCCCTCACTGGACCACACCATGGCCACGGCCTTTGGCCTCTCTGTTCCCAACGTCCACGGAGCCCTGGCGCCCCTGGCCATCCACTCGGCAGCGGCGGCAGGCCGGATAGCCATTCCAGGCCTGGTTGAGGCAGGAAATTCTGTGTTGCTAGTCAGCAACCTCAACCCAGAGAAAGTCACACTCCAAAGCCTCTTTATTCTTTTTGGCATCTACGGCGATGTGCAGCGCGTAAAGATCCTGTTCAATAAGGAGAATGCCCTGGTGCAGATGGCGGACGACAACCAGGCCCAGCTTGCCATGAGCCAACCAGCACAAGCTGCACGGGAAGCCCATCTGCATCACACTCTCGAAGCACCAGAACGTGCAGCTTCCTGGAGAGGGCCAGGAGGACCAGGGCCTGACCAAGGACTATGGCAACTCGCCCCTGCACCGCTTGAAGAAACCAGGCTCCAAGAACCCTTAACATATTCCCACCCTCGGCCACCCTGCACCTCTCAAACATCCCACCCTCAGTGTCCGAGGAAGATCTCAAGGTCCTCTTCTCCAGCAATGAGGGCATCGTCAAAGGATTCAAGTTCTTCCAAAAGGACCGCAAGATGGAGCTGATCCAGATGGGCTCCATGGAGTAGGCGGTCCAGGCCCTCATTGATCTGCACAACCACGACCTCGGGGAGAGCCACCGCCTGCAGGTCTCCTTCTCCAAGTCCACCATCTAGGGGCACGAGCCCCTCACGGCCGGGCCCCCTGGCAACAACTTCCATCATTCCAGAGAAAAGCCACTTTAAAAAGCAGCTGAAGTGACTTTAACATACCAGGGATTTTACTTTTGTAAACAGAAATCATTTTACCTGTTTTTTAAAAAATTAAATCTAGTTCACCTTGCTAACCTTGCGGTGACGGGTGACAGCTCAGGCTCTTGGTGACTGTGGCAGTGGGAGCTCCCGGCCCTCCTCCACACCCGGAGCCAGGCCCTCCACACCCGGGGCCGTGCCTTGCTGGGGCCTCTCGGGCATGGGGCCTACGGGTGGGCGCCCCAACCACGACTCGGCTTCCTTGTGCCTTAAAAAACCTGCCTTCCCACCCTGGTGTCCTGGGGACCCCAGGGGCAGGGGTCACACTTCAGAGAAAGGCAGGGGACCCAGCAGGCTCCTGCAGGATCATGTGCCTGAGGTGTGGCAGCCACGGCCTGCTACACCCAACCCCCGCCCTCTAATCAAGTGATGTGATTTTGCCCGCCCACCCTGCCCCCAGGACCTTCCCCTCTGCCCCCCGGCGCTGGCCCAGGGTGCCCGCTGCTGCTTTCAGCTGCGGAGCTGTTCGTCATAATCTCTGTATTATATACTTTGCAGTTGCAGACGTCTGTGACTAGCAATATTTCCAGTTGACCAAATATTCTAATCTTTTTTTTTTTTTACTTATACGCAAAAGAAATAGTTTTAAGTAACTTTTTATAGCAAGATGATACAATGGTATGAGTGTAATCTAAACTTTGTCGTGGTATTACCTTGTATGCTGTTTCGTTTTACTGCTTGTCATTAAGTCACAGGCGGAACCCAGTTTCCAGAGAGCAGGCGGGGCCGCCCGGCGGGTCAGGCACAGGAAGCCCTGGTCCGATCTCAGCCCCGAGCTTCCGGGAAGGGGCGGGCGCGTCGCCACCTCTGGCATAGCCTCCCCTTGCCTTACACCACGGCTTCACGTGCAATCGCTTAGAAAACTTGCTCTCAAACTTCCAGCCGGGCGCGGTGGCTCAAGCCTGTAATCCCAGCACTTTGGGAGGCCGAGGCGGGTGGATCACGAGGTCAAGAGATCGAGACCATCCAAGTCAACATGGTGACATCTCTACTAAAATACAAAAAATCAGCTGGGCATGGTGGCGCGTGCCTGTAATCCCAGGTACTCAGGAGGCTGAGGCAGGAGAATTGCCTGAACCCAGGAGGCGGAGGTGAGCCGAGATCGCGTCATTGCACTCCAGCCTGAAAAAAACTTGCTCTCAAACTTCTTCAGGGTTTATTTCCTTCAAATTTTGGACCAAAGTCTCATTTCTGTTTTTTGCCTGTCTCATGCTGGGACCCGGAGGGCAGGCGCTGGTCTCGACTTAGCTGTGCTCTTCCCCCGCCTCTGCGCGGCCTGTCCTGGGTGCTCCTGGGATCCCCTTTCCGTAAAGGAGAGTGTAACGAGGGTGTAAATATTTATAATTTTTTATACCTGTTGTGAAACACGAGGGGCAGCGACGCGAATTTTTATGGAGACACAGATGTATATTTTGCTAGCGGCAATTCCAGGCTCAGTATTGACCGCGGAGCGGCAGGGACCCCACGCACATTCCATTGCTGTCCCGATGGCTCGCGATGCGGAGAGAACCGATTAAAACCGTTTTATAACCAACTCTTCCCTTCTCTGTAGCCCTGTGTTGGCTGTAGAGGCAGGTTGGCCAGTCTGTACCTGGACTTTTAATAAATGTCTTCTGTATCCTCAAAAAAAAAAAAAAAAAAAAAATACCTGGGTAACGAAATAATCTGTACAATAAACCCCTGTGACACAAGTTTACCTATATAACAAACCTACATTGTACCCCTGGGCTTAAAATATAAGTTAAAAAAAACAGATGATGTAAATTTATGGTATTGATAAATACAGTACAGTACTATAAATACAGTACAGTACTGTAAATGTATAAAATAAAAATTTAAAAGGCCTTTAAACATAACTTGCTTAATTTCATCCATAACAAGAATACAAATTAAAACCACACTGAGATACCATTTTTCATCAATCACATGGACAAACATTAAAAAAAAAACTGACAATAGGTTCTGTTAATAAGGTTATGGAAAAACAGGCATTCTCATATAGTTTGTAGGAGTGAAAAACATGGTAGAACCACAATGGAGGGAATATAGCAATATCTTCAAAGAATGATTATGCATTTGTCTTTGGAACTAGCATTTCCATCTTTAAGAATTTAAATATATACCTTCACAAATATAACATTATATACACAAAGTTATTTATTGTGACATTTATAATAAAATAACTAGAAAACAACGCAATGGTAATCAGCTGAGACTGAATGAAATATGATGAATTTGCTGAACAGTGTCAACATAGTGTACAATATAATTGTTAAATGAGAAAGGTCTCTATAAACAATATAAAGAAATGTCCAGAATATATCAATATTTAGGAATAAAAGCAAGGTAATAAACAGTATACGAGGTATGCTATTTTTGCGTAAGATGAAAAGAGAAAATAAGTATGTGTGTGTCACAGAGAGAGTGATTTGCTTAATTTGGCAAAAACAAACGGGAGGCATAAATGTTTTTCCAATGAAAATTTAAGAATAGGGAGGTGTAATGGAATGAAGGAACAGGAATGGTAATGAGACTTCTCTGTGTTTAATTTTTTAAATATAGGTTTGACTTTGAACCATATGGAATCAACAAATTTTAAAAACAAATTAAAACATACCTTAAAGTGAGGCCATGTGTGGTGGCTCACACCTGCAATACCAGCACTTCGGGAGGCCGAGGTGGGTGGATCAGCTGAACCCAGGAATTTGAGACCAGTATGAGATCAGACTGGGCAACATGGTGAAACTTCATCTCTACTATAAATACAGAAAATTAGCTGGGCATGGTGACACTTGCCTGTGGTCCCAGCTGCGCAGGAAACTGAAGTTGGAGGATCATTTAAGCCTGGGAGGCAGTGAGATTGTGCCACTGCACCTCAACCCGTGAGACAAAGTGGGATCCCATCTCAAAAAAACAGATACCCTAAAGTGAATATAAAAAGAAATACATACACCTAACAGTATAACAAATTTATAGTATAACCACAGAGTGGTGGAAAATTCATTCAAGTAGCTTTTGAACAAGCAAAGTGACTCTACATCCTAAGGAAGACATTCTAAGCCAAAATGAGCTTCAAAGAAATCTTGAACTTTACATACTAGGCTTATTGTTAGTATTGTTATTGATAGTAATGTTGACATTGTTTTACATGTATTTGACTTCAAGTATATGTATCTTTTGACTTCAAGTAGTATGTTTTTTTCTTTTCTTTTTTTTCTTTTTTTTTTTTTTTTTTGAGACAGAGTTTCACTCTTGTCACCCAGGCTGGAGTGCAATGGCAAGCTCTCGGTTCACTGCAACCTCCCCCTCCTGGGTTCAAGCGAATCTCCTGTCTCAGCCTTCCGAGCAGCTGGGATTACAGGCGTCCACTGCCACACCCGGCTAATTTTTGTATTTTGTGTGTGTGTGTGTGTGTGTGTGTGTGTGTGAGAGATGGAGTTTCGCTCTTGTTACCCAGGCTGGAGTGCAATGGTGTGATCTCGGCTCACTGCAACCTCCGCCTCCTGGGTTCAGGCAGTTCTCCTGCCTCAGCCTCCTGAATAGCTGGATTACAGGCATGCACAACCATGCCCAGTTTTTATTTTTTATTTTTTTTTTAGTAGAGATGGGGTTTCACCATGTTGACCAGTATGGTCTCAATCTCTTGACCTCGTGATCCACCCGCCTCGGCCTCCCAAAGTGTTGGGATTACAGGCATGAGCCACCGCGCCCGGCCCCTATTTTCTTTATTTTTATTTTAACTTTTTAATTCCCTTGTCTTTGTCAGGCATCAATACTCTTATTTTCAATAATATATAGAAAAACCAGATAAAAGATCAATAAGGAAATAGAGGACCTGAGCAATACTATAAAGAAAGTGGACATAACAAACTTATACAAAACACTCCACCCAGTAACAGTAAAATATCATTTTTCTCAAGTGCACACAGATTGTTCTCCAGGACAGACCATATGTTAGGCCACAAAACAAGCCTAAGCAAATTTTGAAACACTGAATTCATACAAGATACAGTTTCTGATCACAATGGAATGAAACTAGATATCAATAGCAGAAGGAAAACAAGAAAAGACAACATATTCTTAAATAACCAATTGATCAAAGAAATCAAAAATAAAATTAAAAAATATCTGGAGAAAAATAAAAATAAAACCAGCTAGACATGGTGGTTCATGCTTGTAATTCCAGCACTTTGGGAGGCCAAGGTGGAGGAACACTTAAGGCCAGGGGTTCAAGACCAGCCTGGGCAACATAGTGAGACCCCCTCCCATCGCTACAGAAAAATTTAAAATTTAGCCCAACATGATAGCGTGTGCTTATAGTCCTAGCTACATTGGGAGGCTGAGGTGGGAGGATCAAGAAACAAAAGATAATAAACCCTAGGCTACCAGAAGAAAGACAATAATAAAGATTAGCGCAAAGATAAATAAAATAAAGAATATAAGTTGGTTTTCTGAAAAAGCTAAAAAAAAAAAAAAAAAAAATGAACAAACCTGCCAGGCATGGTGGCTCATACCTGTAATCCCAGCACTTTGGGAGGCCAAGGCGGATAGACTGCCTGAGATCAGGAGTTCATGACCAGCCTGGTCAGCATAGTGAAACCCCATCTCTACTAAAAATACAAACTTCGCCAGGCATGGTGGTGGGCACCTGTAATCCCAGCTATTCAGGAGGCTGAGGCAGGAGAATCACCTGAACCCAGAAGGCAGGAGTTGCAGTAAGCAGAGATTGTGCCACTGCACTCCAGCCTGGGCAACACAGTAGGACTTCACCTCATAAAAAAAGGACAAACCTTAGCTAGACTGAGAAATAAAAAGAGATAATGTAAGTAATTAAGATCAGATACAAATACAAATTCAGTGTCTAG